AATATAGAAGAGGATGAGCTTTTCTCTTCCTCTTCATGTGTTTCTGATGTCANTGATATATCTTCATTGTCATCTACTAATTCTTTTGAACCATTATTTCGCGAACGTTTAGCATCTTGTTTTGTGAATAATAATTTAACTCACGTTCAAGGCAACAGTATATTATCAGTTCTTCGAACACATTCCTGCTTCTCTGATTTACCAAAAGATGTTAGAACTCTTCTCAATACACCACGAAATCCTGCTGTTATATCCAATGTAGAACCAGGAAAGTATATCTACTTTAATCTCGAAGCAAAGTTAGTAGAAAATCTCTTCAATGTTCTATTTGTATCTACTGTCAAGGAATTAGTATTGGATTTTAATACGGATGGATGTAATTTAGATAAGTCAAGTACTGTACATATTTGGCCAATTCAATGCAGAATTGTGAATATTCAACGTACAAAGCCAATAGTTATAGGTATCTATAAAGGTTCAGAAAAGCCACACGATCCTAATATTTTTTTTTAACAATTTATTGCAAATATTATTAGAATCTTGTCTAGTGGAGGCATTACTTTTAATGGCAACAAAATCCCGATACGTTTGAGAAGTTTTATCGCCGACGCACCAGCTAGGGCTNTTATTTTAAATCATTACAGTCATGTGTCTAGGCAGCCTTGTTCTAAGTGCAAAGTTTCCGGTGTATATACAAACGGTCGTATTGTCTTTAGTGGAATTAATCACGCTCTTCGAACTGATGAAGAGTATATTAGATGCTTAGACAAGGATCATCACAAAGACGGTAAAAGTCCATTATCATTGTTACCAATGGATATGGTTTCACAAGTACCTTTCGAATACATGCATCTTGTATGTTTGGGCGTTGTGAAAAAACTAATGTCTGCGTGGATCCACGGTAAATATTCACTGCTATCGAAACTTCCAGCAAGATCTATTTCTATTATATGTGAAAGATTAAATAATCTTAGAATATATTGCCCTTCGGATTTCGCAAGACGCCTTAGATCTCTTGCTGTTTTTTCGAAATATAAAGCAACTGAATGTCGTCAATTTTTGCTGTATACAGGTCCTGTTATAATGTATGATATA